AATTATTATAATTCCACCTTCTTATATATCTCTTTACTATTTCAACAATGCATTTAACAGCGGCCAGTGTCCATTTGCGTATTTAATTTACATTTTATTTGCAAAATACAGAATAAACAATGAGAATTAACTAAAATTAGTAAGATATAAAAATATTGCATATCTGTATTGACGAAAATAAACAATTATAAAACAAGGGAGAAAACCAATCTCCAACTTAAGAACAATATAGAAGAAATCAGTATTATTTCTATTTCAGTAACAACCCTCGCTGCTGCTACTGTTTCCAAGTAAAGTTGCAAAACTGTGTCCCTTAGCTTCTTGTTGCCAGTTGTTCAGATATTGATTTCAGTCCACAGACAGACTCGTCGGCACGAGGTTCCCATCACGTAAAAATCCACGTCGTTTTGAGGCGATCTGAATGGGTGTAGAAAGCCATAGGAGAAATATATTTTTCCAAAATATGGAAAATGGTAAGCGAGGAAAGTTTTTTGCACTGTTCAACAGCCAAAATATATCGGAGATGAAACTAACCAATTTATACTAATTTTGAGCTGCTAAACACGAAAATGATATTCATTTTGCATGATTGGTTCGCATTTCTAAGATATTCATACTAAGCTGTTTCGCTCTATTTTCGTAATTTTCAGAATTATAATGGACTACTTGCTTCAGACACAACCTGTACAAGGGTGGAGAAGGTTTTATTTCTTTCAGCAGGTCTAGTCAACATCCGTAAGGGATGATTAATAAATTGGTTCAGTTCTGTTTGGCAAACAAGTGTTTTGTGGAGTGCGGATTTTGTGTTTCACTTAGTCTTAGAATACTTATGTAGTAAACAGCAAAAACGTCGTTGTGAGTACTTAAATGAGAAATTTGTAATACTAAAATATACAAAATTTCGCGTAGATGTGTCAATAATCCTAACAACGTTTGTTATATCTGTGGAGAAGTGACTTTTAAATCACAAATCGAAACTTGGCCCCCATCGATAAGAAAGCCTCTATTTTAGTTACAAAGCAGGTGACATGGACAGGGCATGGCACCCCATATTTGCTGTCTGAAGTGTTCTACAAATCTACG